AAAAACATCAAAGATGAAGCTGGAATAAGGGAATGTTTGTGATTTTTTATTTTTTTTAAATGACGGAAGCAGTTAATTGATTATCAATATTTAGACAGACATAGATGAATTGAGTGTCTTATCCAATAGGAAGCAGGAAGAGTTGAATTTGGTTGTAAAGCTGCATCGCCTATCCTACCCTTCAGACAGTCGAGGCTGCCAACACGTCACCCACCACCCATGTGATATACTCTCCCACTTCATCCCTCATCCCTAAGAGGCAACCTGGGGGCAAGTTGCAGGCTTAGTCGAGCTTACTGTACCTTCTGCCTGTCGCCAAGCAGAACTAAACTAACCACCCCAGCGAAGGAAGCAGCGCTGCATACTGGAGCTCAACCATGCCAAAGGGGGCAATTTAAAAAACATTATAATCACATGAGGAGAAATGTCTCTGGCTTGATAATTAGTAGTGGCGAGTGTGGGGATATCTTTGATGCTGTTTGGTTTGGCTGCAGTGCAACAGCATAATGGGCTTCTTCATTATCCTGTTTCCAGCTAAGCACTTTCAGAAGTAAGGAAATACATACATTTATAATTAATGCAGGTCTTATGATAATGGTCTTTCTTTGAGGTGTGAGTTTAAATTGTGCCCATTATAAAAGCGCTGCTGTACAGTAAAAACAAATCGAAGTGACACAATAGTTTAAAGAAGAGTTTGATATATTAGGGAAACAATTACCATACAGTATTTGCCTTAATCACAAGAATTAGATGAGAAGATGAGTACCTATTTCATACATGCCCATTAAATTTAAGGGGCAAACAGCTAGCCTGGTCGCCTCCTAGCACCTCTAAAGATTTAGATCTTTTTAATTTAATCTGTATAAAAGCGGAAGTGCAGTTGTGGTTTTACAGGAAGTTATGTGCCAGACTATTTACTACTTAGATGGGCAAGTCTCACAGTGACGAATCGACAGTTATGCTGAAAACTGGCGCATAACCCACCTGTAAAACTACAGTGTGTCATTTTTACTTCAGTTTTTCTACGGACTAAACAAAAGATATAACATGTTAATTCTTGAGCTTTACATGTGCT